CAAAACTCATAAGATACTGCTAAAGATGCGATGGCAACAGCAGTGGTATAGTGTTTGAATCATTCTGAGATCCTAAAAACAGACCATTAAATAGTAAAATCAAAACAAATAACCTGTAACAAAACTGAAATAACTGATTATCCCCATAGACCCCAAGGTATGAGTGGAAGGGGACAGCTCACTCACAGCTATAAGACTTTTAACTTGGAAAAAAAAAAAAAGACTTCTAACTCGGTTTGTGCTGGAGGAAGGAGAAGAAAGCAATAGTGCATCTGCTTCAATTGATAACACGGATAAATATAGATGTTCTATTTATGGAATATATTAAATATATAGATATTAATTTGAAAGGAGGATAGCCCAGTCTGAGAATAAAAGCTGCAAGGGGGATATTAAATATAATATAGATATTAATTTGAAAGGAGGATAGCCCAGTCTGAATAATAGCTGCAAGTGGGGGAGGGGAACTTTGAAATCTTCTATCTAAAGAGGCTAGAGCATCTTGGTTTTCAGGACAAAACCCCATATGCAAGAGTAACTTCTGGAAATAACTTTCAAATTGAGCAGAATAACAAAATAGAAGCCAAGAAATAAAAACATCCAGAAAAATGTGGGAATGGAAGAAAACCCAGCTGATCTCAGATAAAACTCAAGGCCATAGAAAGATTTCACAAAAACAGTAGAAGTTCTCTAGAGCATTAGGTTGGAAAAACTACCATGATAAAACCCTCCTAAAAATTGAGAGAAAATTATTTCATGTAATATTCAGTAACAGAAAAAGATCAGTCAAATCTCATACAAAGTCCTTATAGGCAAAAAGTTTGAACATACTTGTAAACACTGAAGGCATGCCAGAGAGGCATGTTTACAAAATGTAACAACTGTAACCTAATATTTAGCTAGAAATAAAATAGTTACAAGATATGAATAAGCACATTACAACTAAGAAAAGTCAGAAATGAGCTAATTATTTCATAAATGACTACAAGATAAACACAACAGATCAGGCCTTATAAGAGGGTAAAGAAACTTAGAAAATGCAGTTTAAAAAATTGAGCAAAATTCAAAAAATTAAGATTTTCTATAGAAGAAAAAGAAGTGAAGCAGAACAAATATTATAATTGGAAACATTTGCTGACAAAAGTTGATGCCAGTAGGTTAGTTAATTTCTTATTGGGAACATAAGGGAGTTCCTGTATGATTGTATGAAGTACTATTGACTCTTGAGTGGTGGAGGTTAGGGGTGCTGACTCCTGTGCAGTTGGAAATCTGCATATAACTTTTGACTCTGGAAAAATTTAACAACCAATTACCCACTGTTGGCTGGAAGCCTTACTGGTAACAAACAGTTCATTAACATATGCTTTGTATGTCCTACATATTATATTATTAAAGTAAGCTAGAGAAAAGAAATGGTATTAAAATAATAAGAAAGAGAAAATGCATTTTTAGTACTATGCCATGTTTATCAGAAAAAAAAATCCACATATAAATGAATCTGCACGGTTCAAACCCACATTGTTGAAGGGTCAACTGTATAAGACCTAGCTGTTTGAAGATAATAAAGGAAATTCATGACATAACAGGGGTTATGATGAAAATGAAATTCTGAGGTTAGAAAAGTGAACATATTAGAGTATGATAACAGGAAGTTAAGTGGTCTTGAGTGTTTATTTGAAATTTGTGGTCATGAATTCATAGTGAAAAATCAGCACGGTTGCATGTTTTTGTCCAATGTATAGTTCCGTAGTTCTGAATCAAAGTCAAGACACATGTATTTATTTGAAGCTTTACCAGGTATATATCAAGAAAGGAGAGAAGTGAGGAATTAAAATGTTGGATGATAAGCTGTGTCGCTAGAGACAAAACATGAAGAACAGGAGAAATAGCAGAAATAGTGGACTCAGTGGATAAGACATCTCAATAAGGTCAAGAAGTTGCCAGAATGAGTTCTATTAAACTAGAGGGGTTCAAAGCACAAAAGGTTATGTTTGGAAAATGGGGGGGAGAAGTAAAGATTTTGGAGTAGTATAAAAGACTGGATCCAGAGAGGAGTATGATACCTGAGTTGGTGAAGTGGGGGTGGAAGAACAATCTCTAGAAATGAGGCAAAGAATTGGGAGGCTAAACTGCTGGATGAATCATCCATGTTTGTAGAGTCACTAGAAATCGTGATGTGGGAAGAGAGTATGTTAAAATTATTATGAATGGGAGATTATTAGATTGAGAAAATGGTAAAGTTTGATGTCTTGAATATTTTTTGTAAGTGCTCCATCCTAATCTGAACTCTTATTATGGCAGTATTTTGTTACAAGTCTTCAGTGGTCCCCTATTTACCAGAAAACTCCTCTTTCTCTGGTGTAGGATGGTTCTAGCATGGCACTATAGCTTTATTTTTCCTCCTCATCTTGTTTTCTTAGCTGCAGCCTGCAGAGGTTTTTTGGTTTCACGATGTGTCTTTCACGTCCAGTAAATATATCTTTGGGCACACTTTCTCTAACACTATGGCCATCTTTTTCCTTTCCTTTTCCATCAGCCTATGCATATTATACTCATTCTTCTAAGATCTTACTATTTTTTTCCTAAAGCATTTTCTTCAACTTATGTAAGGCATTTTATTGCTTTATATATGCCTTTCACTTCTCTGTTGGCATCTTTCTTTGAATTACAGTTACTTGCATGTGTCTTCTGCCTTCCTCATGGGCTCTAAGCACCTTGAACATAAGAACTATGTCTAACTAAATATATCTAATCAGTCTATTTCATGTGGTGCTTAGCATACTAGTTTTTCCACAGTTGAGTTGCTCAATTAAGTTGAGTTATACGTCTTTTTTTTTTTAAGATTTTATTTATTTATTTGACAGACAGAAATCACAAGTAGGCAGAGAGGCAGGCAGAGAGAGGGGAGGGAGGAGGAAGCAGGCTCCCTGCTGAGCAGAAAGCCCGATGCAGGGCTAGATCCCAGGACCCTGGGATTATGACCTGAGCCTAAGGCAGAGGCTTTAATCCACTGAGCCACCCAGGCGCCCCAGTTATACATCATTTTAGTTTTCTAGACTTTTTGTTGATATTTCAACCAAATGAAATTTTTGTTCAAAAACAGCAGTAAGGACTTAATTGTTTCTCATCTTAGAGTCAGCTACGTCTATTTTCATAATGCTTGTTTTAGTTTATTTGTAATGTTATTAATTGGTTGCGTGAGATACTTAAATGAATTTAGTTTGTTGGTGTGGTCACAATGTATCCATTTAATAATAAAATATAATAACTTTTGGAGGGACTCCCTAAATTAGAGTCTTAGGAGCAATAGAGAAAGGGTTACTTTGTATTTCCAAAGTGTAAGGAGAATACTTGGCATGAAAACATTTTCATCAAATCAGTGGATTAATACAGTTTTAAGACAAAATTCTCCAGACCTATCTACCTGTCCCTTTCCATTTTCATGGTTTTTTTTATAAGAGTGGAAGAACTGATGTTTTGGAATGCAGGGATGGGAAAGAGGTGAGACATCAAGTAAGTTTCAGAGAAGGTTTAATTTAATTGTTCCACAATATTTTTGTATATTTTATGTATATCTAATTATATCTAATTATACATATTTATAGCATATCTATATGTAAAACATATAATCTATGTAGAAGGCTAATATGCATATTAATAATGTGTGTGTGTCTATGCATATATATGTATGTATGTTTATATGGATATACCATATCTACTTAAATAAAATGTTGAAGCTGGCAAAACAAAATTAAAATTGGTTAGATATGTTTATGTTTTGGAAAAACTATGAAGAAAGGTAAAAGGATGGTAAATACAAAAATCAAGTTCTCCTTAAGGCGAAGGGGCAGGGCTGGTGATTGGCAAGGGGCACAAGAGATGGAAATGGGCATTTAACCTGGCAATTTCCTTTTTGAATGTTTATGTGTTTCAACCTAGACATGTCTTTCGTATTAATCTTTAGGTGTAATGTATCTCGCAATTAAACAAGGTTAACTTTCAGAGGAATCTATGATTTTAGTCTTAAAAATAAATATGCTTGCTCATCTTAGTATTTCTTGGATGTATGCATAATGATGTAGCAATTTGTAGAAAGTCTGTGTGTGTGTGTGAGTGTGAGACAGAATTACTTACTGGTTAGATTAAGTGTTATTTATCTGTCTTTTCTATTAGGACTAGTTTATTGTAACAATTCTTTAGAATAACAACAGCATGGTTTATTATAAAAAGTCATATTTTATAAATAAAGTTAATGTCAGTTTTTCCCCAAATAGTTTTCTAGTAAGAAATTTGTACATAAAGACATTTTATTCATATGTATGTGTATATACCTATGTACATATACACACATTATACACACGTGTATATATAGTTATTGAAACATAGAATACAAACACAGTACCATTTTAAAAGTTTTAAGTCCATGTTTATAACTTTTGATCAATAAGGTGTTCATAGTTATAAAGCAATGTATTTTTAAATTAGGAACCCCTCACTTGTGATCAGTCTTTATCTTTCTTTTCATTTCAGAAATGCCATAAAATGTGATTACTCTCTTCTTGTGCAGTCATTATTTTAGTTAAAAGTTTGTTGAAAATCCATTTAATGACTAGGCTTTTAATCTATTCATAAGTATTTCCTTTTTTAAACTATGAGCCTTTAATTTTATATTTGGAAAATTTTAGTCCACTTGCATAGAATACTCCTTCCCTATATTCAGCATACACGAAATCTGTTCAAGTGATGCAAAATACTTTCTTAAATAAAATTTCTAAGATGTTTATCTGACAAAATATAATTGTGATACTTCCAAATAAATACCACCATTTAGTCTAGCCATATATAGATTTGTAGACCTCAGTATTTGATGATACAACTAATATATTGCACTTTTAAAACTTTTCAATGTAATGAACTTTATGGATTTTAGTTTTCATTCAAATACATTGGGAAATACTGTCAATACCATTTACTAATTACCATTTTTCAATAAATTACAGCTAAACATTTACCATTTTGGAGTGTAAAGTATGTCATCATGGCAAAGTTTCGAAGAAGGACTTGCATCATTTTGTCACTTTTTATGCTATTTATTTTCTCCCTGATGATGGGTTTAAAAATGCTGAGACCAAATAAAGCTACTTTTGGAGATCCTTTTGGACTTGAACTTCTTCCACTACTTCATCAACAAACTCGCTTAGGGAAAAGCTTCGATTCCCAAAACAATGACAAAATCAACCGTGAAACAAGTAACAAGAATTTAAAAAGTGTTGAAATCACTATGAAACCTTCCAAAGCCTCTGAACCTTACCTGGAAGAGCTGCAACCTTTGAATTATTATTTACATGTATTTTATTATAGTTGGTATGGAAATCCACAATTTGATGGTAAATATATACATTGGAACCATCCAGTCCTGAAGCATTGGGACCCTAGATTAACCAAGAATTATCCACAAGGGAAGCACAGTCCTCCGGATGACATTGGCTCCAGCTTTTACCCTGAGTTGGGAATTTACAGCTCTCGGGATCCTTCTGTCATTGAAACTCACATGAAACAAATGTACTCAGCTTCAATTGGTAATTATTTTTATGTGTGTGTGTTTAGATATGTGATCTGTGTGTGTGTGTGTGTGTGTGTGTGTAAATGTAGAACATTTAAGTTACTAATTACTCTTCACATTGTTATTAATTATAATCTTAAACTTATAAACTCTAAATTAAGCTGCATGTATGTACTTACACATCCAGGAAACCACCTTTTAATAGTATTTGCATTGTATAATTTATAATTTTTGGAACATTTCTGGATATATTTTTATTTCTAATTTAATATTAGAAATTTAAGAATTGAATTAGAAATTAGAATGGAATTAGAAATTCAATTAGAGTAGAACTGAAATAGAAATAGACTTAGATTTGAATTGTGACCTACATAAGATACGTTGGATTCTCCCACTTCAAGTATACAACTCATTGATGTTTCTGTAAGGTATACACCTGTTTAAACATTAGCCCAACATGAAGTAAAATATTCTATAGCCCAGAAACTTTCGTCGTGCTTCCCTCTTGCACCTTCATATTCTTCCCCAGGAAACTGTGAATCTAATTTCTCTCACTGTAGTAGAATAGTTGTTAATGTTCTCTTACTGTGTGAAAGTAGAATCATCTAGTGTGTGTCTAGGTGGGCAGGGGGGTCTTTTGCTCAGCACATCATTCTTAAGTTTACCCATGTTGTTAACTATGTCAGTAATTGAGTTATAGTTATTGCTGAGTAGTAATCCCCCATTGTATGATTATAGCAATTTGTTTCCACATTCATCTTGATGAACATTTGGACTGTTTCAGATTTTTGGCATGTAGTATATCATTTGGTCTTGTTTTTCTGTTTTTTAAAACTCTGCTTTTTAATACTGTGCTTATTTATATTTAATAGTATTAAATTTATATTTAATTTATATTTATAAAGTTATATTTATATTTTATTTATATTTAAATATAATTTATATTTAATTATATATATAAATATAATAATAAATTAAATATTTATTAAATTTAATTAAATTAAATTAAAAATAATTTAATTTAATAATAATAATATATGGTTTATTTTAAATGTTTGCTGTTTTCTATTTATACTTTCCTATTCTTTTTTCTTCTTTTTCTGCCTTCTTTTTTATAGGATATGTTTATCCCGTTTTTTTCTTCTGATTTATTATATATTCATTTTATTTTATGATTGCTCTAAAATTTACAGTATGCACTTTAACTTAACTGATCAGAAGTCTCTGGTTATTTTTGTTCCCATTTTCCCTCAACTTTGTCTTGCCTCTAACTTCTGGCACTCCAACTGCACACATTTACATAGATTTACATACATTATCCCACAGGTAATTAATAAAAAAAATATATAATTGGGTACCTGAGAATTCTTCAAATTATTAACCTACCCTTTAAAATAAAAAATGTCTCTGCTATGTTTCCTCTCTTATTAGTGTCCCTAACACTAGGGCCACAAGAATAAATTGGGTGTTCTCATATTTTTATAGCTGTAAAAAGGGACAAGCTCATTATTGAGCTGATAGGTAAATAGAGATGTGCAAGGCATTTCATGAACAAAACAATGTAGAATTCTGTGAATCTACATCAGGTATGCAAGATGACTTGTTTTTCTTTAATTATTTTTCCAATTATTTAAGAAAATTTAATTTATAGAATATACTTATAGTTCTATGATATAAAATATGACATGAAATAGGATTGGTAAATTCAGAGAGCATTGACTACAGTCTCAGTTTACAATTTACTTTTGGGTAGAGGACCTTTCAAATGTCTTTACTATTTTGTACAAAGAATTTCTATCACATTTAAGGCTTTTTTATTACAAGGTTGGCTTGTTTGTGACTGCTGTGCTTGACAAAAAATGGATATCCATGGTAGTTTGAGATTTTTTTTTTTTTTAAAGCAAACTGAGCTTTATGCAATGAGTATTCACCCCACCCCAACCCCACGGCCCCCAGGTATTTTAATAGAAGAAGTAATATGAAAATGACATCCTTGGTATGTTATTATTTGTGATTAGGAAGGAAACTTTCAGTTCATATGTAGTTTTATGCCTGTCTTATGTTTATGAAGACCATTCCCCCTATATATTATTTTACTATGACATAATATGTGTGAACATGAATTATTTGAAAACATTGTCAACAATACAATTATTTTAATTTTAAATGTTTACTGTTTCACTATTGATTAAATATTTCTTTTGGTAGGTGTCATGGGAAAAATAAATCCTTTGATAGAAATAAAAGTGACATTGTAATCAATCTGTATGTTATTTTCTTATCAGTTAAGTATTGTATTATATAATTTTTATTGAAATATTGACATTTAACATTCTGTAAATTAAAGGTATATAGTGTAGTAATTTGATATATATGGTTCCATTTGATTACCATTGTAGCCATTAGCGAGTCCTTCTATCACATCTCATAATTATTATTTCTTCTAGTGGTGGAAAAAAATGAAGATCTAGTCTCCTAGCAAGTGAATGTTTTTAATACAGTTTTGTTGTCTATAATCACTGTACTATGTATGAGATTTCCACATCTTATTTATGTATTAATATCATATGTGTACCTTAAACAACCTCTCTCCCATTTCCCCACTCCTGAGCCTGTGGTAACCACCATTTCACTCTCTTTGCTTTGTTTGCATTTCATACAAGCTATCTGACAGTATTTGTCTATGTCTAACTTAGCATAATGTTCTCAAGATACGTCCATGTTGTTGCAACTGGCAGGATTTCACTACTTTTTCTGGTCGAAGAGTATTCCATTTTATATATATATATATGTATCACACTTTATATACACATATATATGTGCATGTGTGTGTGGGCACGTGTACATCTATCTATATCTGTCCATCTATCTGTTTTTATCACCATGTCTTCGTCCATTTACTCATTGATGGACACATTTTGGCTGTCATGTAATGCTGCAGTTACACAGGAATACATATATCTCTTTGATAAAGTGTTAATTTCTTTTGGATTTCTACCCAGAGTTGCAACTGCCGGATTATACAGTAGTTCTATTTTTAATTTTGGGGGGGAGGGGGACCTCTATACTCTTTTCCATAGTGGCTGAACCAATTTACATTCCCACAGTGCACAGGGGTTACCTTTTCTATACATCCTTGCCAACACTTAACTATCTTGTTTTCTTGATAATATCTGTTATAACATGTATGAAGGACTATTTCACTGTAGTTTTGATTTATATTTCCTTGATGGCTAATGATGTTGAACACCTCTCATGCCAACAATGGCAAGTCTTCTTTGGAAAAGTGCCTCTTAAGTTCTTCTGCTCATTTTTTAAGTGGATAATTTGTGGGGATTTGTTCATTATTGAGTTACAGGAATTATATGTATATTTTGGGTATTAACCCATTATCTGTTAAATGGTTTACAAATAATTTATTTGCCTTTTAATTTCTTAATTGTTCCTTTTGCATTGTAGAAGCTTTCAAGTTTGATGTAGTCCCACATGTTAATTTTTTCTTACTTGGGCTTTGGGTGTCCTATCCAAATGTTTAAGTCTGATCCATTTCTAGGTGATTTTTGTGTGTGGTGTAAGATAGTCCAATTTTCTATTTTTGCATTTGGTTATCCTGTGTTCCTGGCATCATTTGTTGAAGAGATATCCTTTCTCCATTGAATATTAATATTCTTTGCTCCCTTATTCTTTATTAGTTGACTATATATGTGGGGATTTAATTCTAAGTACTCTATTTTATTCTGTTGGTCTAAGTGCCTATTTTTATACCAGGACCATACTGTATAATTAGTATGGCTTCATAGTATAATTTGAAATCAGTAAATATGGCTCCAGTTTTGTTTTTCTTTGTTATCATTGCTTTTTCTATACAGGGGTCTTTTGTGGGTCCATACAAATTCGAGGATTTTTTTTTTTATTACTATGAAAAATACTATAGGAATTTCTTTTTTTTTTTTCTTTTTTTGGCTTAAATAATGGAGGGTTTTTAAAATATATTTTTATTTACATTCAGTTAATTAACATAGGTTATTATTAGTTTCAGAGGTGGAGTTCAGTGATTCATCAGTCTCATAAAGCACCTGGTGCTCATTACATCCTGTCACCTCCTTAATGTCCATCACTGAGTTACCCCATCCCCCCAGCCCTCTCCCCTCCAGCAATCCTCAGTTTTTCTCCTATGATTAAGAGTCTCTTATAGATCACCTTGCTCTGTGGAGTTCTTTCTTTCTTTCTTTCTCTCTTTCATTTTATTTATTTGTCAGAGAGCACACGCACAAGCAGGGGGAGCAGCAGGCGGAGAAGCAGGCTTCTCACTGAGCATGCAGCCTGACATGGGATTTGATCCCAGGACCCTAGAATCATGACCTAAACCGAAGGAAGACACTGAACCAACTGAGCCACCCAGGTATCCCACCCTCTGTGATATCATCTTGTTTTATTTTACCCTTCCTTCACTTATGTTCCTCTATTTTGTTTTTTAAATACCACATATGAGTGAAATCATATAGTAATTGTCTTTTTCTGATTGACTTATTTCACTCAGCATAATACCCTCCAGTTCCATCCATGTCGATATAAATGATAAGTATTCATCCTTTCTGATGACTAATATTCCATTGTATAAAAATATATACCATATCTTCTTGGGACACCTGGGTGGCTCAGTCGTTAAGCATCTGCCTTCAGCTCCGATCATGATCCGAGGGTCCTGGGATCGAGCCCTGCATCAGCCACCCTGCTTGGTGGGAGGCCTGCTTCTTTCTCTCCCACTCCCCCCTGCTGTGTTCCCTCTATCGCTGTGTTTCTCTCTGTCAAATAAATAATACCTTAAAATATATACACACACACAACACACACACACACACACACACTCTATCTTCTTTATCCATTCATCTGTCTATGGACATCTCACCTCGTTCTACAGTTTGCCTGTTGTGGATATTGCTGCTATAAACTGTGGGATGTAGGTGTCCCTTTGAATCAATACATTTGTATCGTTGGGGTAAATACCTAGTAGTG